TGTGGATTGTAAATGGTGGATATTGTATAAGTTTGAATTGGAAATAGATGTATATTCTCCTTTTTACCCCTAGTTAATTATTGTCCGGGTGTTTGTGGCTTTCACTAGTGCTTTATCTCTGATGTGTTGTTATGTGGGGTCGACGGCGTTTCCTGGGACGTCGCATTAATTCGACCAAAGAGGGATGCCACGAGCTCGATGGGGTTCGGGGCGTGACACTATATGTGTGACTTCTCGAACAATGTCTGCACCATCGTAGCAACAATCACCATCAAATCCACACCCTTAGCCCCAAGGCAGTGACAACCACCGTCATCTCATGCTTTAACAGCTCCTCGAAAGCATTGTTGCTTTTGGACAATAACGTAATGACACATATTAATGTAATAATCAAACGAAATGCTTGTAAAAACCGGTTGATGATTCCTTTCTCTATTACTTATGCTTAGGTTATTTTTGAATAATAGTTTCCTAGCACAAAAAAAAAGAGAAATATCAACTCATTAATACAATAATTCATTAGTTATCTAGCAAATAAACTGTTTTTTTGGAAAAAAAAAAAGGAACACCAATTTTGTTCCAAATGGAGAAAGAATAGGAAAAAAATAAAATAAAAAAAAAGAAGAAGAAAAGAATGCAAAAAATTATCTTAAATCAAGAGTGTGCCCTACATTTAACCTTAACAAATGTTGTTTGATACAAGTATTGGTAGTTTCATCTTCAGCAAAATTGAAACAAAGGAAAACCAATAAAAAAAGGGAAGAAATAATCTTAAATCAAGAGTGGGATTCATAAGGGATAATGAAGTCAAATCAATATGATAAAGGGTGTCAGGAGTCAATAAGTAAGTGAAAATAGCGCAAGCCAAGATCGGCTTCAAATCGAGTATATATATTATCCATAAATTAATTAAAGTAGAAAAAATGAAGACAGCATTTTTTTCATCACCCTTTTTTCTTCTCTTTTAGTCAGGATAAAAATTCTCATATTACCTTTTATTTTTCATCTTACTTTTTTTTTCTTGTTCCTTTTTATTTTGGGATAAGAATTGCCATATTACCTTTTATTTTAGTTAATTCCATATATTGACTCGCACGATAGAATTTATGTCTTGTACACCACAGCAAGATCCTTGTATGCAAGACAGTACGTGATGAAATTCTGCCATCTAGAGTTCCACCTTTTGTGTATTTCTACTTATCCAAATTCGAAAATTGGCTTCCGAATCTTTAATCCTCTCCTCCGCATGGGTCCTCAGCAAGGACTTTCTTTGTTAGTTCGAGTGAATCTCCGAAAACTTTGTCACTTTCTCTATAGGGTAATTGTTGTGAAAACAAGCAATCGAACAATAAAATTTGCAGAATAAGAAAATAAATCGGACATCATATTTACATGATTCGGTTATAATGACTTACCTCACAGGGATATTAGCAACAAATGCCACTATAGATCAAGCGATACAACGGAGATTACAACCATACTCGAGTCACTCAAACACTCTCAGTGTTTCCTAACCTCCCAATTACACCTAATAACTCACATAATTTTAGCATAAAATTCCTCGAGAAATAATCTCTTAATCTCACGAAGGAATTAACAAATCTTACCACAAAATTTACTCGATTTATGATAAAATTGGGATTGGACATAAAGAGGCCTCCTTATGATTATGATTTTTTTAGAGTTTTGAAGCAGCTTGTTCAAATCCTCCTTAGAAATCCACCTGGTCTCTGGATCATCTCCCAACATAGATGCTTTGGACTTGGGCTAAATCAACCGAAAGATTTTTGGAAGGAAAAAATTAATACTAAAGATCGCTCCATAGAAACTTCTTGATCAGAATGTTCCATTAGAAAATAATCACATGAATATGGTTTGTTGTAATTAACGAGCAGCTGAATTGAAATTAGGATCAATTGCCTTGAGTAACTTCAAAGCCACGCTATCAAGAATCCATAAGCCGAGAGGAGTTCCATGCAGAAAGTTGAGAGTGTCTCCCTATGAGAATTTGGGTTAGTCAAATAAGAATGACTAGCTGAAGTCTGTTGGCGTTTGTATGTATATGTGCTATGAATGATAATGACATACGCTCCGAGAGATAAAGCAACACCGTAGCACATGATTTATACCGGGTGTGCTGAATATTGACTAAGGGGAAGAAAATTGTAATTATTGAAATTAATCCTTAAACTCCATTGTGTGATATTCCAGAGATTATAAGATTCTCTTATACTACCCTAAAACTTTCAATTGTGTTTTCGAAATATTGATCTAGTGACTACTTTAGCATGTTTTCTCGGATCAAGAATGATGTGACTTTGGGGACATGTTAGGAAAGCAACTAGGTTAAGATGGAAAGACTCAAGTAACAAAGGAAGACAATTTGGGTCTACAGTAGTACATGTATTCATCGGCGGGCCAATAATGTCTACCTTAATTTTTAACCTGACTGTGGATACATGATAGAGTTAATCATGCTTTTATGAGTGATTAAAGATGCTTTGATTGACGTAATGAATTGATTTCGGAGTACGGCGAGATTCTTTATTGCAGCTTCTATGTAACTTAACCAATGCATAATAAGTTTAATGCAGGTGTACTCTTTTCTCACACGACCAATATTCCTATATGATTTTATCTGTGAAGAGATTTTAAAAATTATATCTACATGAGACATACAAATATGGAGATCCTGCATCAAACCGATCGTGTGCAAGTGAGAGATGTTGGGTTTTGGACTTGGGTCACCCTGATGGGAGAATAATTTCCCATTAGAGAGAATAACTTCCCATTAGAGAGGAGAACTTCCCTATTTGGATTACCCGCAGTGCACGTGCAAAAGAAGTGCGCGGGCCTCCATTTGTAAAATTTATGAAGATATATCAACTGATCCGTATGAGAGGACGAATTAATTTGTTCTAATCCCAGACACTAGAAAGACAAGGAAGAGGGAGTGTCTGACATAAAAGGACCTAACAAAAAAAATTAGATGATAAGGTGCAGCAGAATCAATACCAATCTTCTGGAGACTATCATAAAAGTCTATACGCTGATCTGTGTACTACCCAAGTTAGTAGACTCCATGCTCCTGAGTTACCATCTGCATTGGGAATTTTCGCCTCAGTCATTGAGGAAATATATGGATAGCCAGGTGTACATACGCATATACACACATATAAAGTTCCGTGTTGACAAAACGACTTGGAAACTTGAGAAAAACACATTCTTGGTGATATCCATATTCGAATTTGCAATGAAAACATGAGGTAAATGGGAAAGGCCATCATTTTCTCCAGGGTCTCTAGAGCCTAGTCTTCATGGCACTGGCATAGCTTCCCTAGCTGTGGCAGATGCGAGGGACTTGAGTTCCTCATCTACATGCAAATCCGTTATGCTAGAGGGTAGCCTTGGCAACTCTTTGATCAGGTCGCAGTGAAGTAAATCAAGGGTCCGAAGATTGGAAAGTTGGTAAATCTCTGCGGGTATACTGGAAATGCTTGAATATCGCAGCCTCAAGATTCTCAGATTATGCAACTTCCCGATCTCGCTTGGGATGCCGCCCTCGAGACTCCGACACCAGGAGGCTTGTATTTCTTCAAGGCTAGTGAGCTCTATGATTTCAGGAGGGAACTCTCTAAAGAAACAAGAATCCATTCTAAGCACCTTCAAATTCTGCAGATTTTTTAGCGAATCTGGAAACTTGGAAACGCCTGTCCCCGACATGTCTAACTCGACTAATGATCTCCCTATGCCAATGGAGTTTGGAAGTTTTCTTATTCGACGGCAATCCCTCAAAGACAAGTGTTTAAGTCTGACCAGTTCTCCAACAGAGTTAGGAAGTGTTGCGATCTTAGTGCCATCCAGGGAAAGAAATGAGATATTCGTCAGGTGACATTTCATTCTCGGTAACTGACTCAATGAGAAGCAATTTGAGGCACCCAGAGTTTCAAGCTGCTTTAAATGACCGATGGAGATGGGAATTTCTTGTATCAAAGTCCCATCCATGAGAAGCTCTTTCAAAGTTGTCAGGTGACCCACTTCTACCGGCAACATGCTGAGCTCTGTGCAGAGCTTCAAATTCAGGGGAACCAAGCACTTCAAATCCCCAATCGAATGATCTATCTTGACCAATTGCGAACATCACTCCATAATCAATATGGCCAGATTTTTGCAGCCAGAGAACTTAGGAATGACTAATAAGTCAGCACAACCTGTAAGATCTAGAACTTTCAAGTTCTTCATCTGCAAAATAGGAGAAATTTTTGCATGAGCTCACTTGATGACTATTTACGTTAGACAGAGCCATTTCACCATAGCAACAAGTTGTAAACTACCTTGATTTGACCCCATCTTTCCCAGTCTTTTGTGACTTTGCTCCATGACAGTTCGAGAATGGTTAAGTTTCCCAAGTGAAAATTTGTTACTTGCAGACGTCGAGGGCACCCTCGCCAACGGAGCCACCTTAATTTTGGAAAAATGTTAGCGAAATCTCCGGCAATGTCTGCATGATCCAATTGAAGAAACCGTAGGTTTGGCATGCTCTCAAAATTTTCTGGTGTAAGTTTGTCTGAAGTATGCCACTGAAAGTTAAGGCAGAGTGCCTCAACTTTTTTAGTTACCTGTGATGGACGAGAAAAACGAATAGAAGTAGTGAGGATGGTCTCTCTTCTCAAAATGTAACCAGTCAGGAAAAAATCCTAAAGAAAAATGACGAAAAACGTCAATTGAACACATGGTCAGATCTTAACAGTATTTGTCAAAATAGTTCTTTTCCTTTGGCGGTGAACATAACAAAAGTACATCTGATGCTTCACCATGGAAAAAAAAAAAAGCACACCAAACTCTCACCTTTTTCCGCTTTATCGTATCGAGAGCTATTTCATGATTAAATAATCTACTCCTCCTTCCTGGATCTGTAAGATTCTCCGCACGAACGATTTCTCTGCCAAGTCGCCTCAACATGCTATGCATCCATATCTGATTGTTCTCTCCAATTTTGGCTAGGGGAGTCCAAATTGCACTGTAAGGCAGAAAAGAGAAGTCATACCATAGGTACCAAGCAATTCGACTATCTGTTTCGTTGGTAAAGCAGGCGATATCCAGAAATCTCTGTTTCCTCTTCCACAATACTCCTCCCTCCACAATACTCTGAAAATCCCTCTTCCAGAATATGAACTCCCGTAGTAATTCATACAATTTCCTCCGCGCTTTAATATCGAGGAATGCACCCATAACTTCAATTAACAATGGGAGTCCTGCCATGGCATTAAGAGCATCATTCCAAAGCTCGAAGTTGCTACGAGAGGAAGAAGTTGGGATAGATGCATGCCGCCTTAAGAGTTGAAGAGCCTGATCCTTATCCAAACGACTAACATGATAAGTCCGGATCTGAGGGGATTCTTCCAGGACGACACTGTTTCTGGTGGTAACAAGGATCCTACTTCCAGAAGCAAAGCGATCAAAGCAATCTCCAATGAGTTTCTGGACATGAAACGCATTTTTCACATCATCAAGGATAATGAAAACTCTCATGTTGCACAACGAGTCCCTGAAAAACTCAGTTCCCCTGCTGACAAACGCAACATCCTCAAGTTCCCGTTTTAGAACATCGGAAATCAGCTTAGTTTGCAAAAGCTGAAGCCCTCCTAATACTTGAGTTGCTTCTTTAATATCTGCAAGGAAGCTACAGCCATCGAAATCACAGGAGACTTGGTTGTATACGAGTTTTGCGAGAGTCGTCTTGCCAATCCCACCTTCTCCGTGGACGACGACAACGATCCGCTTGTCCTTATCATCAATATTCATCAAGCTCATTATTTGGTTTACTTGATCATCAGTTCCAGCAACTTTTTCGATTCTGGCAACTTGTCTTTTCGCTTCCATTTTAGCCACCTACGAGAAAAATGATGATTGCTCACTGATAAGGCTATAAGATGCGAAGAAGTACTTATATTTGTTGATCTTTTCCAACGTTGTGTTTGCCTAGATTGTCTACCATACGAAGTCACTGGTCATATTGATCTACCATTGATCAACATTATTGCCCCATGGTTTCTAAGGAAATCCAAGGTTCAGGGGTAATGATCATTTACCTTTCAAATAAGTTTTGTCAAACAATTAACCTTCTTTAAAACCTCAGATCATATTAATAGAAAACATGACCCAATTGAAATACGATATGGGGCGGCAACTGTTCAACCATTGAAATATTGTTGGTTCCCATTTTTATCCCGCGTGTTCTTCTAAAATTGTTTAACGCAACCGACGACAATGGTCTAAAGATTGCAAATTGAAGTTTCCACATGTCCTCCTAGAAGATACGTGCGCGCCGCAGCGAACACTAATAACAATTAATTTACGTTGAAAGGTTAAAACAATTAACATGAGAAAAAGATATATATTGTCCTCTTAATATGTACCCTTCTAACTCAAAAGCTTGTATATATTTCAACAAAGATGTGGTCTAGAAGTAGATTGATGATGTTGCATACCGTCACATCACGGGAAAATTGTTAAAAAAGTCATAAATCTATTGCACTTTTGCCAATTCAATCATAAACCTTTCAATTTTGTCAATTGAGTCAATTCGGCCAATTTTGGCTAGAAGTCGTTGACGTGGACGTTAGCCATGCAACATAGGACGGACGGCGCTGACATGGATAATTTTTAATAATATTTTTTGAATTTATTTATTTATTTATTTTTCTTTGTCTTTTCTTTCCTTCTTCCTCCTCTAGCCGGTCGCCGCCAAAGGCGCGGGCTGGTGAGGTCAACCTCACTAGCCTCGGGCGAGCCTCGCCTAGCAATAGCGAGGCCGTGCCGCGCTTAGCAACAACGAGATCAAGGTCGCCCTCGCCATGGAGGGGCGAGCGGGGGCAAGCTTCGCTAGAGGTCGGCAACCTCACCGGCTTTCGCCTCTGGCCAATTGCCAAGCCTCGGCAACCGACTAGAGGAGGAAGAAGGAAAGAGAAAAAAAAAAGAAAGGAAAAAAGAAAAGAAAAAAATTGAAAAAAAATTAAAATATCATTAAAAATTGTCCACTTTAACGTCAGCCAGCCACGTAGGATAGCTAGTATCCGTGTCAGTGATTTTCGGCTAAAATTGGCCGGTTGGACTAAAATTAGCAAATCATGAAAATGTCTAGGACTGAAGTGCAATAGGTTTATGATTTTTTGGACAATTTTCCCTTCACATCACTTTAAAAACCATTACTATCATTTATGCATATCTCAATCAATATAGTCATACCTTTTTTTCCTTGAATCATGTCCTAAAAGAATTTCACGTACACGAAATTTCAAATAGGATGCAAGTTAAAACTTGAGTGATTGGTCAATATATGTGAATACTTGTACTTGATAGATCTTTCAACTTTTTCTTTAGTAATTGTTTCTTGTTCAAATTATGCAAGTCAGTAAGCACATGTTATGACTTTTTTTTTAACCCTTCTTAAATGCATAAAATGCATCTATGTAGCCGAAACATAGGTCTAACTTTATCAATATAAATTTAAATTTACAGTTTTGTTATAATAATCATCCGTTAAGATGTTAAGTCATATGCTACAAATACACTGTTGATCAGTTTTCTAATGTCATGCCCCGCACTCTACGGCGCGCCACATCCCTCGCAAAGGTCGATTCGAGTGCGACGTCCCAGGACGCGTCGCCGACCCGATGCCCAACACAGAGATTAAAGCACACACGGAAGCAATACTATACCCGAACTATTTTTAAACCACATAACCAAGGATAGCTACACAACCAACCACGAGAACATAAATATACACTTGCATTGATACTGGGAACCATATACATCATCCATTTACAGCTTGCGCTCAAAAATCAAAAGCGGGTCAATGGCCACTACTAACAAAAATGGGTAAGTGGCCCGGGCGGTCAGGGTTACTAAAACTAGAAGGGGTTCCGGTCAAAAAGGTACTGACCCCATCTACCCTTGGACTGAGGCTAGACCTACGGAACCCAGTCCGAGTCGGATCCCGATGACTCGGAAGAGCTATCAGACAGCTCGACATCAGAGTCTAGGGAATCCTGCTCGGACTCGGCCCCAGCTGACTCCTCCTCGGAATCCATCGGCTCGGCCTCGTCCTCCGGCTCCATATCCTGCTCCATGGGCTCAGGCTCCTCGTCCTCCGAATCCATCGGCTCCGGGTCTGAATTCCCACCCTCCGGCGCACGGTCAGGGCTCGCCAATTCCCCATCGGGACACTGAGGGTCAACATCCCCGGCATCGGTAAGCGGAACCTCAAAAGATCGAAAAGGCCCGTAGGTCCCTTCATGGTCCCTGATACACCACGCTATATATCTGTGGACCTGGTCAAGCTCCTCGCCCGCATCAACCCGAACTGTAGAAAGATATCTAACCCAAAAATCCCCGTTCCCTGCGGGGTACTCCGTCTCCTCCCGGTCTATCCGGTAAGGGATCCCAAAATGAATAGGCACGGTAGACATCTCAAGGCCGGGGGTCTGAAAAATTGGGTTTAATACAACAGTGAGAATAAATCTCAGCGAGTAGGTTCCCTAAACCTAAACTAGGCTAACATGCACCTCCTGACGAGCACTAAACAATCACACACAAGTCGAAACATAATTGACTCAGGCCCTCGGGCCCAAATCCATCATTTACTTGACCCTGCAGGTTAGGCACCTCATGAATTTACAATAACAGCATAGGACTCAACCACGGCACATATACGAACATCATTCAGCCACGACGCATGTCATGCATATGCTCGTGCTCACACCCATGCTCAAGTCTCATCAATGCATTTCGCACACTTGCACTCTTGCACACTTGCAATTACCAATTTCACCGACCCGCGTAAAACGCATCAGGTCTAACAGTTTGAGATCGATCTCCGGCCCGCGTAAAACGCATCAGGCTCATGACACACAACCCGCGTAAAACGCATCAGGCCAGTCATCTTCCGGTAATCCGGGCATCGTCCCGCGTAACACGCATCAGGACGGGTTCACTACCCCGCGTAAAACGCATCAGGGCTTCATGTGATCACACATTCACATACACCAGTTATTATCTGAACCCCGCGTAAAACGCATCATGGCACTTTAGGTGATCACATGCTCATGTCATTCGTGCACACTCGGATATGCACATGTGATGCCAATGTTCAAAGTGCACACTCATGGCCATAACGTTCACACTTGAGCATCCATGAATTTCGCAATGAGCATTCAATTGCACAACAACACTTATTCAATTCACCACGCAACAAGCTCAATTCAAGATATCACAACCCAACCAATAAAGTCACCCAATCTAGCCATGGCACAAACTTGGCACACAAAATCACGAAACTAGATCAATAAAAATCACAAGTCCAAGACCCCCAAAGCTCCCTCAAGTCACGGCATATAAGTACTCAACACGGCATCGAAACACTAACGTCAATTCGCGTTCAATTCAACCTCCTCATGGTCCGCTCACAAAACACTTGCCGATTTCCACTAAGGCCATGATTAATCAAATGTGGCCCGGATCCAATCCACACTAAATCAGCCATGAACAGCCCACTTTAGGCCTTTAATTCTCTTCCAAATCACCACATTAAGCTACAAAATTCATCACGAAAACAGCCACCACTTGGTCCTCAATCCACACCCGCCAAATTCACCTTTTTACCCAAAACAAGGCGCCTGTGCACAGCCACATCACAGCACCCTATAGTCCACTAAACCTCGATTAAATCATCACTCTTGGTCACCAAATGCCCCACAAAATCAGCCCCTAATAACCTCCACAAGCTAATCCCTAAATTACCCTAATTAACCCCTAAAACTCATCTAGAAACACACATTGGCCTAATTAGGGTTTAGGGTTGTACTCACTTGGATTTCCTAGGCTCCCAACAAGGCTGGACAAAAGGTGAGGGCAGCTGAGCAATGGCGGTGAGCGGCGGCGAGCGGCGGCGGCGCGCGGCTCCCCGACGGACGGCGATCCAATGCGGCGAAGGGGAGGGGGATGCTGGTCGCGGCGGACGGGAGAGAGAGAGGGGAGTGGGACGGCTGAATGGTGCTAGGCGAGGTGGTGGTGGTGGTGGTGGCGAATCGGCCCGGCGGCGGCGGAGCTCCTCCGGCGAGCTTGGCCTTTCACGGCCAAATGAAGAGGAAAATGGAAGAGAGGAGTTGGGCGTGGGAGGAGATGGCCGGTGGTGGTGCTGGTGAGAATGAGAGGGAGAGAGAGACTAGAGAGAGTGTATAAGCTTGGGCTTAGTGGGAGTTGGTGAACCACTTTGCACCAAAAGACTAACTTGCCCCTAATCCAAGGGCTTGGATTAAACTTGCTAAATATCTCTGGGGCAATATGGATCTCAATTTTCAGCATTATTGGCCTAAAATACAACAATATAAAACCCCAAAATAATCCCCAAATAACCCCAAAATTCGGAACACTCAAATTAGGCCTAAGGGCAAAACGGTAATTTTCCGGTCCCTGGTCAAATTTTCAATTTCCGACTCTATTGATCCCAAATATGAGTGGCCACATAAAAATGACGTCGTCCTTGCAAAATAGTCGCGTACGCCCACAAAATTCGACACCGAAGTCCGGACTCAATTCCACGATCGTTTTCACTCGATTTGCAATTTTAGCGTCTCTCACTAACGGGCGGCTGTTTAGGGGTTACGCGTATCGACCTAGGGCTACTCGAGTCGTGACGGTCTCGATTCCCAAGAGGACACGAGGATTTATCGCTAGTCCCAGGGGTCGCGGTCGTCCGGAATAAGTTCGGGATCGTTCGCCGCGCGTACTCTCGGTCGTGCGGAATCACCCGCTATCCGATCGAACGTCGTCGGTCAAACCAAATCCGTCACTCTCCTTGGACCGGCCCATATCGGCACAAA